TTTCATAGTTGAGCATCTCTGAAGTTGGGTTTCCCATGGATGGGGTGACACAGTTGAGTTGGCAGCCCGTTTCTTTCTCAGTGGTAATAATGATGATTCTTGCACCATCGATGGCATTTTTGACTTGATGAAATCCAGTATATCTCCATCATTCATCACCTTTCCAAGCCCCCTCTTATCCTTCCAGCTACCTTTTAGATAGCTTCACTGGATGTCACATCACCACTTCAGACTGAGCAGATTTAGAACTAAAACTGTCATTGCATTTTTCTCACGGAATACCAACTATGTTTTCTAACTTCTTTATTTCTAAATGGTGACTGCTCTCCGAGTTGTCTGGCTGGTAGCCCCTGTAATAATAAAAATAGCCAGTATGTATCAATGTGTCCTGTATGCCAGGCACTGTTCCAAGCCCCACATATGTGTTAACTCATTTATCCGCACAGCAGACCTACAGGGAGGCACTGTGACAATTCTTTTATATGTGGGATAGAGCCACTTGCCCCGGGGTCACAGGGCTAAGGGATGACAGAGCAGGTACCCGGGCAGCCTGGCTCTGGAGACCACACTCCAGATCACGACTCTGAACTGCCTTTCACCCACCCAGCCCATCGCCATGCAGCTTTTACTCATCCACTGAATCTGTTTGCGTTTCACCGTTGCTTTGTGTGATCGGGTCCTTGTGACTTTCTTTGATTATAGCGAATGCTGCCTGGTTGGTCTCATCACTGCCAGCCCCCTCTCTGACAATCCATCTTACGGATCGCATACAGCATCCTCTTCCCCACAGAACCTCTGTCGTGTTTCTACTTCCCTGCGCTAATGCTTAAAAAACAAAACAAAACAAAAAACAGTTTTATTGAGACATAATTCACATATCACACAATCCACCCGTTGAAAGTGTGCAATTTCGTGGGTTTCAGTATAGTCACAGAGTTGTGCAGCCATCACCACGATCAGTTTAGAACATTTGCACCCCCGCCACCCCGAAAGGAGCCCAGTGCCCCTTAGCCATGGCGCTCTAATTCCGCTATCCCCACCCCCACCCCCGCGCCCCTGGCAATCACTTATCTGCCCTCTGCCTCAGTGGGTTTGCCTCTTCTGGACATTTCATATAAGTGAAATCATCCGGTTTTGTATTTGGCTAATTGCACTTAGCATGATGCTTTCAGTGTTCACCCATGTTGTAGCAGGTGTCAGTACTTCATTTCTTTTTGTTGCCAAATCATATTCTGTCTGATGCACATTTGGTTTATTACTGTTTTTTGGTTGCCAGTGAGTAATGCTGCTAGGAACATCCGGTACACGGTTTTGTGCGGACATATGTTTTCATTTCTCTTGGGTGTGCGCAGGAGTGGAATTGCTGGGTCATGTGGTAAAGCTGTGTAACTGGTTGAGGTCAAGAACTTTCAGTACCTCCTCAGACTCCTCAGTCTGAGGAATTTCCAGGGCCTGGCCCATCTGCCCTGGAGGCCTGCTCCTCAGAGTCACAAACTGGCAGCTTCTGCCAGGCCAGGCATTGTCATCTGAACTGTGTTGGGGCCTCTGCCCTCTGGCTCACGTTTCTCACCCCACCTAGGATGTGGCCACACATACATTTCTTTGAGACACACAGCATTTTAAAAAACCTGAATTATTTGTGCGCATTTAAAAATCATGAGATTACACATAATGATACCAAATTTTTTATGGTCTTCCCCAAAATTGGAAGATTGGGTCACCCTGGGCCCACACCCCTGTGAGGCACCACCTGACTGCAGCTGAGGTGTGTGACCACCCCGAGGGACACAGGCCCTGCCCGTCCTCCTCACACTTCTACTGGCCCTGCAGACATCGGGGCCCCTGACCTCTGACCTGGCCGCACCCTTCCAGAGCCCAGCTCAGCTTGCTCCTTGGGCCATTGTCCTCCACTCCTGAAAGCCTCTGGCACTCTGCCACTCAGCGCCACACCAAGTATCACATTGTGCCGTGAGGTTGTTTAAATGGGAGTGGTAGGAAGTGAGAGGAGATATTTTGGTGGCAAGCATTGCAGGCTCTGGAGCCAACTGCCTGGGTTCAAACCATAACCAGCTGTGTGACCTTGGGCAAGTTACCTAACTTCTCGGAACCCGAGTTTTCTTATATTGTAAAATGAGAGTAACTGGAGGACCTCCTTATACACCGTAATTGTGAGGAGTAAGTGGACTGATACACATACATCATTGTTATCATCATTATCTTTTTGTTGATGTCTTCTCAACAATATTGTAAGAACTTTGAAAACCAGAACCCTGTGGGGCTGGGGGAACTTGGCCATTGTTTTCTCAGTTGGGGGTGGGGCGCACTTGAGCATTCAGGCTGGACCGTCGCTAAACAGTGGTTGAGAACAAAAGTCAGACGTCCACCCCTGAGGATGAGGGTACCTTCCTGCCATCAGGCTCCTGGCTGTATTTCTTTGCCCACAACACTGGTGCTCCCATCAGGTTGCTCCGCCAGCCTCGACCTGGTCCCGCTTGCCATCTGGCTGGCCTGAGAGAGCCCAGGGAGCCTGGTCAGGGCAGGCGGCTCAGGACTGGTGCCAAGGGCCTGGGGTGGCTGCTGTAAAGGAGGTTGCTGGGCCAAACAGTCTGAACTACAGCCACTTCTTGTTTGTTTGAATTAAATATTTGCTAATAAAGAGAAGTGCTTACAAACTATATGTATGGTATACTGCATGATCATGTAACAAATAACACGGACCTGCCGACCCGTCTTTAAAAAGCTTTGTTGTCTCCTGTGTCTCCCCCCACCCAAATTCTCGCCCATGTCGCCTCTTTCACTATTCCAAGTTTCGGGTAGATGACTGATCCCCTAACAATACACTGTGGAATTCTGAAGGGGACTCATACTGTGTGTGTCTGAGGTGGGGCTTTCCCCTTTATCCTGCATTCAAGATAATGTCTTCAGATATATCTTCTGATTACTGACTCTTTTCAACTGTTTCTAATATATAAAACCCATCTACTGAATTTCTAATTTCCAATGATATTTTTCATTTGTTGAAGTTCTTTTTTTTTCTAGTTGTTTTATAGCATATTTTCACATTTTTTATTTTTATCGAAGCAGTCCTGCTTCTCTCGACATGTTTTTGCGATGGCTCTGTGGTGATGTGCATATATTCATTTCTGGTGCTGTACCGTGTCGTGTGGTTTGACTGTGGCACTCCACCAGGTGACAGGAATGCAACAGAGATGGAGGCCCTGCTCTGACGGGGTTTCGGGCGCAGTGGGGAAGGGACATGGGGCACTGACTGAGTCCGGGGTGCTGGCAGAGGTCAGGGCCCCCGAGGGGAGGCCAGAGGTCAGTAAAATCCCCTGGAGGCTGAGACCTGCAGGATGAGTGGAGCTGCTGGGCGACAGGACCCATCCCTGTCATAGATTATGTACGTGGAGCCGCTGGTCAGTGACTGCTCCTGCTGTCACGATGTCGGGCTGTGAATGGGCCTGGGTGTTGGCAAGTCAGCGGGATAGGAACCATGTCATGTGAGGTCTTATGCATTTGAACCCTAAGCTTTAAGACTGTTGGGCTCTATGTATTCGAGTCACTGATAGAGGAGGGAGCAGAGCGTAGCGTGTGGGTGACCAGCTCCTGACTCTGCACCCCCCGCCCCCCCGCCATGCCCCAGCCCCGAGCCTCTGACGCTTCTCTGCTGTGCAGTGTCTGTGAGTGTGACAGGAGACGGGAGGGGCACGTGGACCATCCCAGCATCGTCCCGGCCGCTGTGAGCCTCGGGTTGTCACTGCCGGGCTCTGGGCCCAGTGTTCTCAATGTTACTCGCTTTTACCCTCACAGTGGCCCTGTCCACCTGCCCACTGGATGTCTCCTGGATGTCTTAAGCTTAAATATGCCTAAAACACACCTCCTGGTTTCCTCTCCATCAAACTGTTCCGCCCCATCTCTGCAAATGCCACCACTGCCTGTCCTTTGCTTAGGTCCTGGTTCCAGGAGTTAGTTACCTTCCGTTCCTCCTTTTGCTCACCCGTCAGCGAGTCCAGTCAGCTCTGACTGCAGAATGGACCATCCACTCCCTCCAGCTCCTTTACTGCCAGCGTAGCCTCCTCCTTGGGCTTCTCGCTTCTACAGCCGTCCTCCCCACAGCCTGGGGGCCAGGGATCTATGCTGAAGACGCTTCAGATCTGGTCCCTTCCTGCTTGAAACCCTCCAGTGGCTTCTCCTGAACGTAGAAACAGATCCAGCGCCTTTACCTGGGATGACAGGCCCCTGCCGTCCTGTCTGCTCCCCCAGCTCACCTTCTTGCAGTCCACTAGCAGACAAGCTCTTTTCCACCTCAGGGCTTTTGCTTTCGAAACGCTGCCTCCCTGGCTTTCTGTCGGGCTGACTGTTCAGGTCTCAGAGGGGCCCTCCCAGGACCCCCCATCACAAGCCCTGTCGATAATTTCTTTATTGACTTGCTATCTTCTCCCTCTCATCTTCCCCTCTGTAAGCCGAGGGCAAGGACCTGCCCGTGTCCTTGGTGCCTGCACATTGCCTGGCACATGTGTACTTGGATGGCAGCTGTCAGCCCCGTTTAATGGCAGGATGCAGGAACTCCTCAGTCACATGCTAGTGAGCGGCCGTCAGAGCCCAGAGCTGAGGGCTTCACCATGAGGCTGCTGCCCCCTGAGTGCTGAACCTGCTGGCCAAGGCCCAGGCAGGGGCAGGGCCAGAGGCCAGGCAAATGCCTGTGAGTGCAGCCTGGCCTTTGCTGGGACTAGAGCCTTCTCCACACAACCCCTGGAGCGGCCCACAGTGTTGGACACCCTCTCTTAAATGGTTCTCATTGAGGCGAGGTGGCTCAGAGACGCCCTGTTTCCTCCCGTCGTTGAGGTTTGCTCTGCGTGTCCTTTTTGTTGGTTCTCTGGACTGGGCACTGAGGATGCGGGACCACGTGTGCAGGCTGGGGGTCTCGGTGCACCTTGGGGAAGCCGGATGCGCTGACCACTCTTTATGGCCTCTCCCCTCCCTCTCCTCTTCCCACTCAGGTCGCACCAGCTTCTATGAGGAGTACGGCGTCATTCGCGACGTCCTCCAGAACCACCTGACCGAGATCCTCACCCTGGTGGCCATGGAGCTGCCCCACAACGTCAGCAGCTCCGAGGCCGTCTTGCAGCACAAGCTGCAGGCCTTCCAGGCGCTGCGGGGCCTCTGGAAGGGCAGTGCCATCGTGGGCCAGTACCAGGTGTATACCGAGCAGGTGCGCAGAGAGCTGAACAAGCCGCCCAGCTTCCACAGCCTGACGCCGACCTTCGCAGGTGTGCTCTGGGGCCGGCTCGGGCTGCGGCCTGCCCCCCACCCCCCAGCCGGAAGCAGCTTTCCACGCCCAGATGCCCTTTGGTTTGGGCTGCCAGGGACTTGACGTGGGATTTTCACAAAGGCGCTCAGTGGCGAGTGAGATATTCACTCCCCTGCCTCTCTGGCCTTCCACCCGCTTAGGGCAGCAGGTCACCTGCTGGCTCCCTCTGGGTGAAGGACAGCCCTGTGGCGGTCTCAGGTCAGTCCACATCCACAGATCCTTCCAGGGCTCGTCAAGCTGGGCTCAGACCTGGCTCACACCCTCGTGGAGCTTCCGTCCAGCCCCGCTCCCCGCCGTGAGGGTGCACACCTGCCCAGCCACAGCCCGAGGTGCCCCCGGCAGGTGCCCCCAAAAGCCATCCTCTGGACAGTTCCACAGGCTTGGAGCTTCTGGGAGAGGGCTGGCTCCCTCAGACTGCAGATAATAACCCCACGCAAGAACAGCAGCCGTTCATTGGGCACTTACTATGTGCCAGGCACTTTATATACACCGTCTTATTTAGTCCTCACATGCACACACCCACGAGGCAGGTATGGTGGTTGTCCCCATTTAAAGGGGAAGAAATGGGAGGCTCCGAGAAGTTGCGGAAACTTGCCCGAGGACCAGCAGAGACAGTACACTGGGAACCAGGCTCGAAAGAAATTCGAGTAGGGACTTACCACCCCCATCCCCGACCCCTGCAGGCCTCCTTATCTGCACGCCTTGCTTCAGGTCCACCCTGAGTGCCTCCCTCCCCCCAGCAGTCAGGATCTCCCAGCCGCACCCCCACCATGAGACTGGAAACTTCTCTTAGAGGCTCCAGGTTGGAGACTCACAGCCCAGTTCTCCTTCCTCGGGAGACTGTGACTCCAAGAGAGGTGGGTGTCTGAGATGGCCCCAAAGCGGCCTTCCCAGCACTGCTGGGGGAGAAGGTGACGGAAGTGGGGAAAGGTGAGGGTGGGTGTAGTGAGCTCAGGGGTGCTCCAAGGCAGTGGGAGGCCCAGGGCAGGGGCTCGGGGAGGAGGGGCTGGCAGGAAGGGGGGAAGGGGAAGGCGAGTGGGCCGGGAAGTCCCGTTACCTGTGCTGGAGCGTCACCTCCGCTGTCCCCCTGTCACCTCAGGCATCCTCGTTCACGTGGACAACCTTCGCTGGGAGGGCATCCCTTTCATCCTGATGTCCGGCAAAGCCTTGGATGAGAGAGTGGGCTACGTCCGGATCTTGTTCAAGAACCAGGCGTGTTGTGCCCAGAGCGAGAAGCACTGGGCCGCAGGCCAGAGCCAGTGCTTACCACAGCAGGTGGTGTTCTACATCGGCCATGGCGAGCTGGGCAGCCCCGCTGTGCTGGTCAGCCGGAACCTGTTCAGGCCCTCCCTGCCCTCCCAGAGCTGGCAGGAGCTGGAGGGCCAGCCCGGGCTCCGCCTTTTTGGCCGCGCTTTGTCTGATTACTATGCCTACCGCCCCACGAGGGAGCAGGATGCCTACTCCATCCTCATATCTCACATCTTCCACGGCCGAAAGGACTCCTTCATCACCACGGAGAACTTGCTGGCCTCCTGGGCCTTCTGGACCCCCTTGCTGGACAGCCTAGCCCACGAAGTGCCCCGCCTCTACCCGGGAGGAGCTGAGAATGGGCACCTGTTGGACTTCGAGTTCAGTGGCAGCCAGTTAGCCTTTTCCCAGCGGCAACTGGAGCAGCTGATACCAGGGCCAGGCTCCGCTCCGATGCCCAGTGACTTCCAGGTCCTCAGGGCGACGTACCGAGAGAGCCCGCTGGTCTCAGCCTGGCCCGAGGAGCTGATCACTAAGCTGGCCAGTGACATCGAGGCCACAGCTGTGCAGGCGGTGCGGCGCTTCGGCCAGTTCCACCTGGCGCTCTCGGGTGGCTCAAGCCCCATCGTCCTGTTCCAGCAGCTGGCCACGGGGCACTACGGCTTCCCCTGGGCCCACACGCACCTGTGGCTGGTGGACGAGCGCTGCGTCCCACTCTGGGACCCCGAGTCCAACTTCCAGGGCTTGCAGACTCATCTGCTGCAGCACATCAGGGTCCCCCACTACAATGTGCACCCCATGCCCGTGCACCTGCACCAGCGGCTCTGTGCTGAGGAGGACCAGGGCGCCCAGGCCTACGCGGAGGAAATCTCAGCCCTGGTGACCAATGGCAGCTTCGACCTGGTGCTGCTGGGCATGGGCACCGACGGGCACACAGCCTCCCTCTTCCCACAGTCACCCACCGGCCTGGACGGCGAGCAGCTGGTGGTGCTGACCAAGAGCCCCTCCAGGCCGCACCATCGCATGAGCCTCAGCCTGCCCCTCATCAACCGTGCCAGGAAGGTGGCCGTCCTGGTCATGGGCAGGTTGAAGCGTGAGATAACCATGCTGGTGAGCCGTGTGGGCCATGAGCCCAAGAAGTGGCCCATCTCAGGCGTCCTGCCCACTTCTGGCCAGCTGGTTTGGTACATGGACTATGACGCATTTCTGGGGTGATGGGGCCTTTGCCGTCTGCTCACCCCCCCATGCTGTCTTTTGCTTGTCCTGTCCCCTCCCCTCTTTATCCTGCTACCTGCCCTGGTGCTCTGGCGCTCTGGAATCAGATGGCTCAGTCAGCCCCATCCCAGGCCCTTTGACAGTCCCTGTCTAAATGTGATGAGCAGATGCAGAAAAAGGAAGAAATGGAGTCTGCTCTTGAGAAGCTTCAGATCCAAGTCAGGAGAGAAATACCCACCTGAAGGAAAGACCTGCAGTGGTTACCCATTAACTTCATCCAGCGCAAAGTAGGACGGCGTGAAAGCTCCCAACTTCAGAAGAAGGAATACAGTGGGCTGAGTTAATCAGGGAGGTGTCTTGGTGGAGAAGATCCTTGAACTGGTTCCTGTGGAGAAGAGCAGGGACGGTACAGGGGCGGGAGCACCGGCCCCCATCTGAGCGGTGCAGGCCCGTCCGTGCGGAGCCGGGCACGGGGACCTGTCCGAGCATTCGGGCTGGTGGAGCCCTGCTTCGTTTCCCCTTCTTCCCGAGCCTCTGACATCCAGTGTGGCCGCCTCCTTGCTCTGTGTCTCTGCTTTCTTCTCAGTCCTGACTGTGGACGTCTTCCCGTCTCCTGTCTGTTCCTTGGCTGTCTGTCAGACTCCATTTATAGACCGACAAAGGATGATGACAGCAACACAGCCGCGAATACTAGGATGTTACAACGCTTCCAGAAATCTTGTGACTGTTGTTTGGAGCGCCCTTCCTCAGCAAATGAACGTCTCTGTATAGGGGAGGCGCTGGTTCCCCCAGCTCCTCAGGGAGGGCCCCGTCCCCACCTGCCCATGTGCCTCTCTGGCCAATACCCTCCATGAAACACACCGGGCACCAATAATCAGGCCATTCCAGGGATCCCTCATTTAAGAGGGTCCATTACATCTCAGGGGACTTCCCGGTGGGTGTTTCCATTCTCAGTACCCCCTCTTGTTTTGCCAGGAAAGATCCAGTCACATCTTTCTGTGAGGGTACAACTCATTTGGGGGGAAGTCATGTGAGGGTGAGTGATCTAGACCATCCAGATGCTGTGAACTGACCAGACAGGAGCCAGGCCTCCTTGGTCGGGTGGCCGCAGCTCATGGGCAGTGGTGGCTATGCACGACCTCCTCAGGGACTCGGCCAGTTCACACTGCCAGGGGGCGCAGGCTGCAGCCCACCCTCTCACACTACCTCTCAGGGCACCCAGCCTGCCGACTTCCTGCCTGCCAGTCCCTCCCGTGACTTCTCGCTTCACCTCTAATGCATTGCTGAAGCCTTGGGCCACAAATCCATAGCTTCTAGAGAACTGGTTGGGCGCTGCGCTCCTGAGAAGCATGGGCCAGCAATCCCTGTTTTTATGAAGTCCCCAAAAGCAGGGGGAGGGCTCTGAAATGCTTCCAAACATCAAAATTCTCAGGACACATTTAATTTTTATTTCAGCTTCCCACATGGGCCTGCCCCCAAGCTATGACTATAAAGGAATAAGATGGATTTTTCTGGGTGACTGTGCCCACCTCTCATAGTCACACTTTGTATCAGCCAGATAACTTTTATCAGGCAGATACAAAGTGTTGTCACACAGAGGGCTTTCCTTGGTGAGGAAATCTATGTCTCTGCTGTTGATTGTTTACAGTTCCTTCAAGGCTACAGATTTAAAGGAGCTCTTGCTTTCATCTGAGATATGTGTATAGAAATGGGTGCCGGAGCCAGGGTCTCTCCATATGAAAGGCCCCCGTTAAAATTCGGCTTCCCGTGGCCTCCGACGACTGGGTCCAGACAGGACACCTCTCTCTATAGCCAGAGAGGTGGCCTTGGCAGAACAGAATCCCCGCGCCAGGTCCGGAAGTCCCCTCCCTTTCTGGGGTCAGCATTTTCATTTTTTTGCTCTAGAGATGCTGATCTGCTAGCGCTCCTGAGTGGACCCAGGTGGTTGCAGTTCGGGTGCCGCATCTGGCCACGTGGGGGCGCTCTCGCACCATCCCTGCCGTCTTGCAGTCGGACTGCGGAGGAATTCCCGGTGTTGTATTTGCGTTTTCTTTCTTTTTTTTTTTAATTCCTCCTCCCTGGGCCCTTGGCCCGAGCACTCCCCCCAGCTGTTCTTTGGGAAACTTCCTCTGTGGTTGCAACACCAGAGAGAAAGGAACCTCTACATGCCCAAGTCCATTCCAGGATAAAGGGTAAGCTGGCTCCTGATGTCACCATTTCTGAATAACAGTGAGTCACTGCGGGCCTGAGCCTAGGATGTCCTGTTCTTAGAGGAGTGCCTTGCCTGGAAATGCACCCCTTACCCGTGGAGAGTGTGCGCATAGGGATAGGGGTCGCGGCAAAAAAGTGCCAAAGGTTTTCTTTCCAGAATCAGTGTTGTCTTAACGTCACACCAGAAAAATCCGCTGGGAGACATTGTCAGCATTCCTGCTTCTACCCACTCGCTGCTTCCTGTTCCCTCCTTGCCCTGTGCCAGGAAGGAGAGAGCCTCAGCACCTGGCCACCTAGGCTGGTGGCCTCCAAACTTTCTGGACCACGATCCACGGCAAGAAACACACGTTACACCATGAGTCGTGCAGAAATCTGTCTCAAGCACGAGTTTTATAAAGGAATTCCTGCCCTGAGAGCATGGGGTACTTTCAAGTTTCTATTTTTCATTAAAAAAAAAAAATGCTGTTTGTAATCCGCTCAATTGAGTTGATGCGTAGTTTGAACAACACTGCTGCAATCCAGCTTTACCCTGTTCCATAAGCCGGGACCCCTAGGCTTGGGGGCAGCTCGTGTACTCAGCTCCCACAGGGATGCTCCCTGGTGACTACGCTGGGGCTGGAACCCAGGCTTTTCAATCTGCAGCCTCCTGCCTGGCGCTCATCTGGGCACACAGGGTGGCTGCCCAGACAGGGTGGGGGGGCTGCTTCAGCCCCTGGTGGTGGGGTGCTGGGCCTCCTTCATAACCAGGGAGGGAGAGCTGTGGGTGGTGAAGAAGCGCAAAGCCTGGGGCATGTGGGAGCATGAGCAATTTTGACCGTATGGGTCAGTAAATACCAGGCTGAATACTAAGTATTTTACATAACTTGTCTAATGTTTGAACAACCCTGTGAGGTAGGGGAAGGGATCCTCATTACTGAGGATTTTGAAACTGAAACTGAAGTTGTCTGATGACAGCAAGCCAGTCATTCCAAGCCAGGCATAAAACCTGGGTCTGAAGGCTTCTAGACATGTGCTGCCAGCCACCCTGCAGTGCCACCTCCTTCCCAGGGAGCCCCTGGGTGCACAGAGGCCTGTTACAGGCAGAAGGGCCCCTCCTTTGGGAGGCCTGGTCAAATTAGCATCTTTAGAGCATTATTGCCGTTCTCAGGAAAGAATTGAGGGACTTCCCGGGTTGTAAGCCACTTTCTGATTTTGATCTGGGAGCTAGGTTTTCTGCTAACCGCAAGTTCAAATAGTCTCGTCTTGTTGATCTTCCCAGCTCCCTGCTTCTCTGCAGACAATGCTGTATTCCCACTCTAGGGCCTCTGGCTTAGCAGCATAATCAAAGCTTTCTCCAGTGGACCAATATTTCAGAACACTCCCCTGACGGCTGCCATTCCCGAATGCACAGGCTTGGTCTCCCTGGCCTGGGAGCTCCCTCTTGCTTTGCCTGGCTGCCCCCTTTCCCCATTTGTACAGAGAGCTGGGGACAGTGACAGAAAGGAAGGGAGAAACATCCATAAGACCTTAAGGGGCAGTTTCCTACAATTTCGTTTTCATAAGCAATTTTGTTTCAACAATATGCAGCCTCACATAAGCAGCCCTACCCGGCGACACTTATCTTAAGCAGACGGGGCCCTGCAGACCTTAGTCCACTAGCGGAGAAGCTGCCTGGCAGCAGGTCAGTGTCAGAATGAACAAGTTGCAGCATAGGCCAGTGGTGACACAGGGCGACGTGGCCGTGGTGGCAGGCCAGCACGATCGGCACCCACCTGCTGTGCAAGACAGACTGCAGGCAGGACAAGGGCCTTGAGAGGGCTGTTGCCTCCCCACATCACCAGGCTGCGTGGCCCTCGAGGGCTATCTTCCTGCCCATCCACTGGCCTGTGGGCTGCAGTGAACTCCCTCCCACGACTCCACTGTGATGACTGCTGGGCACCACAGACCACTAGGCACTTGAGGTGCTACTTGCTTTGTTCAGGTAACATTTCCATGAGAAAGAGGGTCCTCCCTCTCCTAACACGCACACCTCACCAGCATTTGGCAGCTGATGAGAACCCGTGGGCACCAGGAAGGGTAATGCCTGCCGTGAGAGCCGCTCCGCTGGTGCTGCCCTGCTCGCCAGGCTCCGAGCATCTCATCACTGGAGGTGCCTGCTTGGAAGTGAGGGTCCCTTCCTCTGCGAGTCCTGCCTGCTCACATCCCGCCTGTGGACCGGCGAGTGTCAGCCCGGGCGCCGGTCCTGCCCTCCACCGCCCATCTTCCGTGGCTTGCCTGGAGGGTTTGAGCTGGGCACCCCCATATTCTTTGTCTTCCTTGCTGCACCTACAGAGTCTCCATATGAAATGAAAATCCTCCTTGCTCTCTCTACTCAGCCTCCGCTACACAGCGTGTCTTCACCAAGGGAGCCAGCGCCAACCCCAGTCAGCATGTGTGCTTGGACGAAGTGCAGATGTCTTCTAGGGACATCCAGGGACCCTTCTGGAGAGGTGGGCCCAGGCCTCCAGGCGGCAGCTCGAGCTGGGGCGTGAGAAACATGGAGGCTTCCTCAGCCCACGGCTAAGCCAGGTGCCCACATACTAGTGCTGTCGGCAGTACAAGTCGAAACAGCGAGAGATTTGGGGCGTTTCTGAAATCATTGTGAGAGGAGCCATGATCCCTTTGATGAAACTTCCTCTCCAGCCAACTGTCAGGAGCGCATCTGTTAGCACAACAGGTCCCCGGGGATGTCTCTGTGTGTGACCCATGGACGGGAAGTCCAGATTAACTGCTTCTGCTTGTTGGTTCCCAAGGATGGATTTTGTTTAAAACACTTGCCTTGCTCACGGGTGTTTTATAGGAAGTCTCTGCGTCTTCCCTGTCCTTCTGCCGTCGGGAGAGGTGAACATGTTTTCATTTGCTGAAAGCTTTATGGAGTAGCTTTGAAAGTGGAAGTGTAAACAGAACCACATAAAATTGTCAGTTTGGGTCCTTAGCTGTACCCCACGGAGGTCTAGAAGAGGCGGTTGTAGCACGTTATGAGGTACATAAGAGGAAAGCTCTGTGGGCTATCTGGGAGCCAGGGGCCCAGCCAGCGTCCGCTTCTCTGAGATGCGACCTGCACAGCCCCCTCCCCCTGGCTGTGTGTTTGGAAGAACCCAGTGAGGGCAGATACCAGCAGGGCCTCCGCGGGCCCAAGGGCCTTGTTTCCAGCTGGGAAAGCCAAGGTGGTGCAGTGCTTAGGGGCTGCCGCCAGCAAGACAGCTAGATGGGTGTGGGCTCTGAAGGGTGTGTTTCCACCTGTACCGTGTTGCTGCGTCCTCTGTCCTATGCGGGACACTCGGCACTGGCTTCTGTCAGGTGAGGAGGAGAGAGTTGGGGAGACTCCTTTCTCAGGGGGACCATCTGTTCCCTCGTGCAGTGGGGAGACCGTGGGCATGAAAGCCCCCTCTGCCAAGCCACAGAATTCGCCATGCCTTTCTGCAGAGAGAGAAACTGCCCCTGGTTTTTACAGAAATACTGGACACTTAAAGAAGCCTCAGACAATGAGACAAATTCAGAGTTTTTTAAATTACTTTTTGTATGTCAGATATAACATTTATTTTTTTAAACAATAAAATCGTTTTACCAGAATTCATGTTTTTATTCTCTGTCTGGGAAATGGAGTGTGGTGGGCTGTGGACCTTGTGGTCATGGTGCGGTGTATTCTCGGAGGAGGGGAAGGTAGAGTGAGTGAGTGAGGACCTCGGTGCGTTCCCACTGCTGTCGCGGGCACGTCTGGGCGAACCAGCTGCAATCCATTGCACGAGGGTCCATGGACCTCCTGAGAGAGACAGCGATGGGCCAAATGACTGGACCTCACGGTTCCCCAAGCAGCCTGAGAACAGCTGTCCCTCCAGCCTTGCCGGCAGCCCGTGGGATGGGGAAGGACGTCACCTGAAGGGAGTGTGTTGTGGCATCTGAGAGGGAGAGGTGGGAGGGAGCACCTCTGGAAGCAGCAGCACCAGATACCATTGTCTATCTGTTTGTCCTGCTTCTGTCCACAACCTGTGGCATGTTCCCAGGAACGTAAGGAGGTTGGCCAGTCAGCTAAAGTCGCAGGAGCCAGTGCAGCGTGCACATCCAGGGGATGGGGTCCCCAGGGACCAAGATGCACAGGTGACAGACACATTGCTAGGCCCATGGGCAGTGTGGAGGCTGCAGTCCCCATCCTTGACTGTGTCTCAGCCTGGGAAACACATGGGGAACGTGCCTCCTGGGGGCGGTAGCTCAGAGCTGGGGGAAATCGGGGTCAGTCTGGGGTGATGACTGCTGGCTATGCTGTCCTCGCAGAAACATGGCCAGGTGGGCTCACTGCCTCCTAACACTTGAGACTGTGAGGTCCATCTAGTATCCGTGAAAGCTGCATGGGAGGGTCACTGGTACCTGTCCCCCTTTGGGGACCCTCCCTGTACTTGTGTTAGGGGGGGGTCCTGACCTGCCAGGACATCCAGTGACCACAGTTGCAGTGATTGGCTCGGGGGACCCGTGGCCCACCTTGGTCAAATCAGAGTGAATCCAAGAATATGGGCTGAAGCGACTCCGTTTCTCCAGGCTCCAACCTGGAGCCCCTGGTGGCTGTCTCAGCAACACAGGGAGCCTGAGAACAAGGCCACATGCAGAGAGCAGAGCCTGAGGAGAGCGCATGCTGGAGCTGTCCCCAGGCCCGGATTCTGCCTGCCGATGGCTCAGTTACTAAAACTAGTTAAAACCAGGCTGTAACTTGTGATAGAAAACTTGGTAGGCATTGGAGCGCGGAGCTTGGTTAGGTATTTCAGGAAGCCCAGCAGGAACCCTGCACTGGCCTGAAAGGTGATTGGGGCTAATCGGGAGGGCAGGTCTCTCCGGTTGGGGCCAGGATGCCATTGGTCCAGCGTGGTAACACCAGTGTGGTTGGTCCGGTGCTACCCAGCTCTGGCTGCATTCTTACTGCTTCATTTCCTGATTGGCCAATGTTTTTGAAAAGCTGGGACAGGTAGAAAGGCAGGAGGCAGTGGGTCATAAAAATAATAAAAGGCGTCCTTGGTGGGCAAGCTGGGAACCCCTGGCCTAAATGTCTTCTCCAAAGTCTCCTGCCAGCTCTCTGGATGCCCAGCCGGAGCTTTGGAGGGAGTCAGCGTGCCTGTCCCAGCTCTCCCCAGAAGGGGAGAGTATGGTTGTGCATCACGGGATGCTCTCTGTTCCTCCTCACGCCCACATCACTCCATCCAGCCCTCATCTGCCTGGGCAAGGACCGAGACCAGATTCTCCACGAGTCTTACTTTTGTGCTTCTGGTACTTAGCTCAGTGCCCTGCAGTGAATATGTGACTGACTGACTGACTGACTGAATGAATGAATGAATGGCAATAATAAAACCAAGGCGGGAGTGGTCTGCTGTAGCTGGTAGAGCTCTGGGATTGTCCAGATGTCATTGGCCACTAGTCTCCTGGACATTTGCTGTGTCCCCTCTCCCCAAAAGAGGCACTGAGCAGGGC